CCTCGTCCTCGTCGTCGCCCATCTGACCGGCACCTGCGTTGGGGCTCAGATCGAGCTGACAGTACAAGCAACCGTTGAAGCCAGCAGAAGAAGAAGAGCCGGCAGCAAGGAAGCTCGGAGGGGAGCGAGTGACCGCATGCAGCGCAACGTTGGGGTACCCTAGTTTGAAGCCGTTGTTGGTCTTGGACGATAGGAAGGCCACCTCGCTCTCGGTGAGCCAGAGCTGCCCTGAGGCTTGGAAAACCTCGGCATCCTCGTCCTTCTCCTCGTCCTCCTCCCTCTCATGGGCTCCGTTGCCGTTGGACTTGTTGTTAGGAAGAAGCTCGAAGCATGATGGCCGTGCTGATGGCGAAGGGCTGAGATAGACGGTCGACTGTGTAAGGCGGAGGCGCAGGACTGGCGGGATGGATGCGAACGAGTCGGGCGTGGCTTGTTGCAGCTGGTCGAGCTGCTCGGCCGTGACGTGCTGTGGCGGAGCCGTGATCTCTTCGAGCCCTGCCATTCTGCCGAGTCTTCAGAGCTGAGGAGTGGAGATGGTGATACTGTAGCAGCGTCGACGAGTCAGGTGCACGGATGCCGAGGAGTTGGCTTTGCGGCGTCAGAAGCGCGCGCACGCGTCTCGGCCAATTCTCGGAAGACGCAGGTGGAAAAGTGGAGCGAAGCTGGACCCTGAATCTGACTCAGCACGACAAATGACCAGCCGTGCCTTTTCGTTGTTCGAAATCAAATTGGGGAAAGCTCGGCCGAGCTTTTTGGGGTCACGTGCCGCAAATTTTGCCTCAAACCACGCCAGCCAGCAACTCACATCGCGACGTGCTGTGGCACATTTTCGAAATCGTGAAACGAGGCGAAAAACACGGCAGCACAGCACGACACGATGCAGCAGGGCCAGACAGCGCTGCTGGAAGCGGTGAGCAGCTGGGCAGCTTGAAGGCAGCCCCACAAGCGGCTCAGGACGGCGGTCTTCTTTGAAACGGGCGGCGACACAGTCAGATTGCAGCGCCGGCGAGACGGATCAGCGTTGTCGACGCCATCAATCGATTGACACCTGCCTTCTGCCTCCATCCCTCAAGATCATCATCGACCTCTACACATCCGACACAATGGGAAACTCTTCTAACCCCGCTCACAAGGCCGGCGTGGCCCGTTCTGGTTCGTATCCATCGCCTACCGACCCTTGTCGCCGCCAGCATTTCAGTCGCTTCGGAAGAAACACGCATCAGCATCCGCCAACAGTCGCTGTCAGCATCTCCAACTACATGAGGCGCATCCGTCCGCACGCACTCGCCGTAACATCCAGCACGTGTGGCAACCAGCACTGGTCGACTTTCAGCAGCAGCCTCGTCGACTCATAGCAGGGGCAACCGGGATGCAGGGCTAGATTTGCATGCAGAGGATCGAAGAGACTGGAAGCACGGAAATGGTCGTGTCGACACGGCTGGGGAGTACCGTCGGGTTTCGTCAGGATGTCGTTGCAGATGTTGCCTCGTGCAAGTGCAAGAGTCCTGCCGCCATACGATTGTGGACAGGTGCAGTTGGCGCACAAGCATGCCGCCAGGATCAGGCGCCATGGATCATCGCCGGACTTGTGCAGGAGTATTGGCCGACCATCAGCGACGTGGCCGGACGCGTACATGCACCGACGCTTTGCTCGCACCACGTCCGGTTCAGGCAGTCTCGCTTCGTACATCCGCACGCACGTTGGTGACGTCCTCGTTTCGATGCAGTGCAAGTGTTTGACTCGGACACGCTGTCGTTCTGTCCACATGCCGATGCCGTCGCCCGTCTCCATGCCGCCGCCTCGACGCTGCAGCTCCACTCGCCCGACCTCGATACTATCGATGACTACTGGCACCACCACTAGCGCTCTTTCCTCAACTCACACGACTCTGCCTGCTGCCCTCCACCACGTTGCGACTCGCCTATTCGACTAGAAGCGACTGAAATGCTGCGCCCTTCGATCTGCACAACTTCGAGCATTACGCTGACCTCTCGTCTCCCTTTTCGCACTTTCGCATCGTTGCAACTCTTCAGGTCTCGTCTGGGGCATCAACCGCGGTCACCAGACTGAGCGCCGAGTTCTTGCTCCCCGTCCCTCGAACCGCAAGGGTCGCCAGGGCGAGCGCGTCAAGGTGATCCGCTCGGTCGTGCGCGAGGTTGCCGGCTTCGCTCCCTACGAGCGCCGCGCCATGGAGCTCATCCGCAACTCCAAGGACAAGCGTGCACGCAAGTTCATCAAGCGCCGCGTGGGTACCCTGCGCCGTGCCAAGAACAAGATGGAGAGCCTCACCAACGTGATTGCCGAGCAGCGCCGCGCCGGTCACTAATCGTTCGATCCGCATCTCGTCCATCCTTGTACCACCATCATGCACCACCCCACCACAACACCCAAAATCATACCGAGCATCGATGCCCGTCTTTCCTTCCATCTGCACGTAGTGGATTCGGCGCATTGACTCGCACACTTTTTCAAGTCGCTAGCCTAGCGCAAATGTCATCTACATTTCCGGCTCAACAAAAGGCACTAGATTGGATGCCAAGACGTTGCGTAGTGGCATGGTCATGGCCGAGAAGAGGGTGGACATTGTGGAGCTGAGCTAGACTGCGAGACTGTTGGGCTGGGTCGGCGCCGATTTGCGACGTGGCGAGCATCGGATCCAAGCCGAGGTGAATGAGACTGCAGAACGACGTGAGGGCCGATTTGCGAGGTCGTATTCACTCGGTGCATCTCAGCATGTGGCAGAGCAAGATCACTTGAGCACACTTGCAAGCAGGGGCTGATTCTGACGCCTTCAAACGCCGTCTAATGGCGACCACACTTTGGCGTTCTGCCTTTGCGAGCTCTCCGATCCCCCAGCCTTGACTCCTTAGCATCGCTTGCAGCCACAGTGTACACTCACCCCCCTTTGACCTCTGGACATCCACACCCAGCCTCGCCAAACCATACTCTGGGGTCTTTTGTTCCAGTAACCCGTCTGTGCTGAGGCTAAAAGTACATATAGTCCGTATAATGGCGCGCTGTGGAAGATCATTCGTGCGTGCTCTCACCCCCACCTGCAGCTGGAGCCTCCTGGTCGGACGCCTGCGATTGAGACGCGGGCTCGGGCTCTGCATCCGCCTTCGGCCTTGTGGTCGGACTAGCCGCCACGGGGCTGGCGAGAGGCGATGATCGGGACGGCACACTCGCGATGGCGCTCTGGCCAATCGCACCCAACCCACGCACACCGCCAAAAGCACCGAACTGCCCAGCGCCCGCACCCGCCGCCGTAGCACTTGCACCAATCGGCGAGCTGGTCGTCGCACCAAGCTCGTTCATCGACATCTTGCTCCTTAGCTGCGGAACACCCGGCAGCGTAGGCGCCGACCAGATATCCCCCGCCCCGCCCGCCGCACTGCCCGATCCAAGCGGCGGCGAAGACGTCAGCCACCCCGACGACGGCGCTGTCGATGCTCCCAGCGCAGACCCCACAGGCAGGCCAGGCGCAGACCACGTATCGCTCGCGCCAAAGATCGACGACATCCCCGCCGAACTGAACGGCGGCAGATTCGGGTTGCCGCTCGAGCCCAACCCACCCGCCAGTCCAGGTGCAGGTCCAAACCCTTCCAGGCTCGGATCGTAGTCGAGCGGCCCGAACTTGGCCGCTGCGCCAAAAGGCGCCGACGACAGCCCGGAGCTCGCCGCTTCATCGCTCCCCGATCCCTGCTGGCTGTGCAGCGCCATACCGCCGAATCGCGGACTTGCGCCTGCAAATGCCGTTCCGGCTGCACCGTCCATCGACTGAGGCAGCAGGGGCGAGTGCCTCGCAAACGGACTTGCCGCGCCCGACGGCGCCATCGCAAACAGATTCGAGCCCATGCCTCCGGACGGCAGCACGTTCAGATCGGAGCCCGGCGGCAGAGTCAGCCCTGCGCCCGCACCACCACCAGCACTGTTGGCCGCTGCCAGCGCCGAC